TGCCTATCCTATTTCCCCACCCCAAAAAACTCTATAACCACCGTTTTTGCAGAACAAAATGCTGGGAATAGGGGTTTATGAGTAGGGCTACATAAGCTACTTTTGCCAAAATATTTTTTTTATTACAAGTCGACGGGATTTTTGGGGCCTCTATAATTAGTCCTGCCAGCCTTTCTTAGCCTGTAACTTGCCTTTGTAATCAGCATCAGTCAGCGGTTGGGATCTGTGTCCCCCAACACGGGTGCCAGGTCAGGGTACAGCAAGCGGAATTTGCGATACGCTCCCATAAAAATGCTGAAGATAGGGAGTGACAAGATAGCACGCCTAATTGCAGTTTCGGCCGCGCAGGCACCTGCGCCCGATCGCGTCTCCTTTCTTCTTGACTCTGACTAAGACATTTGGCACAGGTAGTTGAGTGGAAAGAGAGTGTGGTAGATACTGCGAAAGTTTATTTTCGATTAAAACTGATCCACATGCAAGTCAACGGTGAACGTAGTCAAACTCGGCGGTCGAACCGTCGGTTGTGATCGACTCTGACCTTGGCAAGGCCTTCGATCAAGAGCCGCAGAGAGTTACTAAACCTGAAGCGTCTAGGTGCTTGGATTACTCCGCTCGACATCATTGGCTCCTCCTTGTCTCACTGCGGCTAAAAGGTTTTAGTAGTCAATAGCAATTAACGCCGCATCTGCTCACAAGCAGCGTTCTTAAGGCACGGTCTTGAGTCCTCCACTCTTCATTCTTTACATCAATGAAATTCAAACACTCTCAAAAAATTCGTAAACCGTTATTTATATTGATGACTTTAAGTGCATGTAAGGGCTGCTTTGTATAATTTGGGTTGGCACCCAGTTAATCCACATTATTATTATTATTAAACGGAGGATCGCTGGACGATACAACGGTGAGCCAAATATTCAAAGTTGAAACGTCTAACCGCTGACGATCGGTACACAAACCCGGTAGTTGGATGAGGGTCTGGAACTTTGACGGTATAACTAAACGTCGATATGAGCCTAAACCTGACCCTACTTATTTCAAAAAGGAATTTTTTTAACTAAATAGATCTGCGTCTCTATATTACTATACACAGGAAGGTCATGCATGGCAACGTTGATTCCAGTGTGATGCCCGGGCAACTACTATTATTCCAGGGATGCCAAGAGGTTCGATTAGCACTCGTAGATTGTCAGCAAGCACCACAAACGTTCCAAAGAGAAAAACATACACAGCCTATCCATCGGCAACCGATGTAAAAACCGCAGCCCTACATGACGGGAATTTTTGTCTTAGCACCGCGGAACAGTTCCTGCAAGCTGTCTGCAACAAGTTCCAGCAAACTGCTATACTTCCTACATGCAATAATTAGGAGCAGATAGGCGTACAGCGATCAGTTACAGGACACACTCCTCCCACCCTGGTGCCTTTGGAGCTTACACTCGAGCCACGCCTCAAGGTGGCTGATGATATAGGCAGAAGGATATTACCGACAAAGGAAAGGGAGACTAGGATGGCCATTTGTGACTTGTTGGCCGTCGCCAGCTAGTCATACCCAACCCAAGTGTTGCCCCAGAAATTGGTGCATTACTCGAGGTTCAAACCATCGACCTTGTTAGTTAGAAGTCCAACGCTCTAATCACTGCACCATGGGCTCGCTTGGACAAGGTCGCGTGATCAAGGTCAAGCACTGTCTCACCGACGCGCCTGAGAGGCTGAACTTGACGCACGAACACCAACCACTATTAAGTAAGCCGGATGATGTGGGGGCGATCCAAAGGCTAAAACTATACCGATTCCACACGGCAGATTTAATACTAGCAATGCTACAGGTCGATACAGACGAACGAATTTGCATTTAACAATAGTCTACATTGGGGGTCTGTTAAGGTTCAAACGCGTGTAAGCACGCTCCTATTACTATGCATTTGAGGTAATGCATTCAACGCCATGATCAAAATTGGACTTGGTAGGTCGGTCTGCATCTAGTTACGTTATTTTGATCTACTGAGTGGATTCGATCCTGAAAAAATCCTTTAAGTAAGGAAAAATGTCTGCTTAGTTTAATGTATTAAATAGCAATAGGCAGAATTTGGCGACATCGAGGGCTGCCTCATAAAGAAAAAATGACCTATGATTTTTGGTACGACATACCCAAACCTTTTATCTTTGTGCTATGGGAGAACCCCCAACACAAGCAAGAAAGGTTTAACAAAATTTTTTTCTTAACCAAAAATTCAAGTCTCATTTAAACTAAGTTTAAGTTTTACAAATTATTTTTCCGGTCAGTGCCTAAAGTTTTTAACACTAATCTCCATTAAAAAGTTTTGACAGCCTTTTGATTTACAGCATTGATGATTTGGGACGGCTACCAAAATGGCATTTATATTATGGCGTAAATTAATGTAAAAAGCAATTTTGTTAAATGTATAGTATATGAACGCGTATTTTAGACAGCCAGAGGTTTAACAGTTTTCGCAAAATAGTAGTATATATTCGGCCACTATTTTTCCCATTCGCGATTTTAGAAGGGGGTGTGATCCTAAGCAAATATGCTGCAAGATACTCCAATATAAAATGAAAAGTGATTTTTTGTTTGTTTTTTTTCAGCCAAAATTCAACCACTTATTTTTCAGGTAAATTAAGTATACGTTTGCTCGCCAACTGCTCTTCGGAACCAAAAAACTGTCAAATATTTCCATTTTCACTTTGACGTTACCGTCGAAAATCGTAACATGCACAAATATCCGTCATCTATATATCTAATCAAAATGATTTTTAAAGAGCTAACCTATTATGAAAAGTTTTTAAATTAATCGTAGGCGTAGCAAGATCAGACTTCGGTTGCTGCCGTTCTTTTTGCTCGACAATGAGTTTTGGTGTTTTGCATAATTTAGAAATGTGGCCCACATGGATATCTTCATAAGAACGATCGCATCGAATTTAGAGTTTTTGATCTAAACATTGATCATAATCTATATATATGGAAGAAAGGTTGAAAACCCTGAAATTATTCT